GGGGTCTACTGCAACATTTTTCTGAAAAACGTTGCTAAAAGTCATTTATACTAATTAATGGCAACATTCACTTCCTAAAATGTTGTCAAAAGATCCTTTTGGCAACATTTATCAACAAATGTTGCCTTTTTAATGTTGCGAATGACTCTTTTTGTTGTAGTGGTTGAAAAGTTATGTTTTGAAAATATATATTATTTTTAGATAATGACTAAATTATTAAAAGGTTATGAGTTCGAATTCTGAGGACGTGATAAAAATTCTTGTGGGATAAGATGAGCTAGACTCTTCTATAGTGGAGAATACTTAAATTAATAGTTTGGATGCAAAGGTCTCCACTATAATAGAAAGGTGTAATAAATGCTCAAACTCTACAATTCATAATCGTCGGAAAATCTCATCATCACAATAATTGGGAAAAAAAAAAAAAAAGACTAAATTGAGATATGACCAAGTAAATATGACTCTTATTTCTGTCACCTCTCTTGCTCTTATTTCTGGGCATTGAATATGACAATAATCTTGGTTCCTGAAGTGTACTCATTATCAGATCCAACAATCATCACAGAACCTTCATCAAATATTGAGTTGATCCAGCATGATACATAGGCAGCCTTGTTTCTTTCATTGAAGCATATTTCATCAGCCCCTAAAACATCCCATGAATTTGCACAAGTAAATTCGTTCATGTTACTAATTGGCTTCCGAATCAGCCCTTCTTTAGAACAGAATTCTATCTCAACATCCTCGTCTGGTTTCTTAACATATAGTGAGAAATTTGAGGCCATTTTTGTACCAACAATGTGCTCGGCCTCATCAATACATAGTGCAGCAAGATTATGATAATTGTTGCTGTCCAAATTTGAAATCTTTGTTGGAATGTTGAAAATCACACTCTGTGCAACAATTTTGCTTGCTTTTGAGTCCATTAGCAGAGAGGGAGTTTCTCCAGCAGAACTTTGGAGATTAGGAAGGTAAAATGTGGGCATTCTGGGCATGTCGGCTTTTAAGACTAAACTCTTGTGAACATCAGCCCATTTCTTGAGGAAACTAGTTGTGACAAACGGATCCGCAAGTAGTAGACTGCTACTTATCCCAATCGTGTATCCACCGCACTTGAAGTTAGTAACCTGAAAGAGAGAAAAAATAATATTAAAAAAAAATAATAATACACAACATTATTTGTTGATTATTTTTTTCATATATAAACTACGTGATATTTTACCTCTTACCTGGACATAAAATAACGGACAGAACTCAGGGTTCTGGTCAAGAATATCCTCCCAAAAGACAAATTTAGTTTCTGCATCTTTCTTCGCCTTCGAATCAAGAAAATCTGTCAAATTCATATCAATTCTGGCCTCAACCAATCTAGCACCTGAATCATTTGAAACAATCTGTAGATCTTCATCACCCTTGTCATTGTGCCGCCTTAATCTTCCAGCTAGCAATGGCTGTTCTGATAGTGCTCTACCAAGTGACTCTTTTATCCAACCTGCCGCAACCCACCCAGAATCCTCATCCGACGCCTTGTTATAGCACATAACAATGTGAAAGCACATTCCAAAAAAGGTGGAACTACGACTCCCTGAAACTACAACTCGAGTGGACTCTCTTGGGTCTGTTGGCTTCATTGGCACCACACTTTGCACAGCATCTACGAGCAATTTGGAACAAAAAGATCCATTAGAAATTGCCATTTTGGCTGTGTTGGAAAGAAAATGATGATCCTAGCAAGCTATTTATAAGACCTCGAAGATACGAACGGAAAGTGATCCATTATTGTGCTAAGTTGGCAGTGTTGATACACCAACTTGGTTGAATAGTATTAAAGTTTAAACATGATTTGTTTATCTGGAACGTCCAATATTTCTTAAATCGTAGTATTCAAGTTTCCACATTAATATAAGCTTAAATGAAATAAAACTACCAAGGTCCACTAGTAGTTTGCTTGTTGCTGGAGATAAACTGGCTGGCGTTGCACCCAATTTTGTACAAAGATCTACCAACTGTTAGACCAATAAGTTGTCAAAACTGCGGGTCACCTCCGTATGTATATATTTATAGTGATGTCTATGTCAAGATTGTCTATGTATTTTCTAACTGTATTGTATGTAAAGATCCCAAAATCAAGCTTTTATGGTGTTCGAATAAACAGTTGTCATGTATTACCATGAAATTTCGTGAATAATATATTATGCGGTTTAATTATGAAGTTTGGAAAATTAGGGCTAGAAAGGAAACTTTTTAACATTTTTGGGGACCAAAGCAAATTGATGAAAATGCCCGTTATCCAAGAGATATTATTTAGGAGGTAAATAATAAGAATAATAATGACTAGAAGTACTTATTATTACTAGGTCTAGTTTTGGGGTCAATTAGCAACTTTTCAATTTTCAAGGACTTAGCACAGATATTGAAAAATATCATCAGTTGCTAAGAAACCGTTTGGGAATAAATTGAAGGTTCAAATAAATATAAGGTACATATCTATATTCAAGGATATAATCACGCTAGATTAAAAAAGTATTTTTCAATACGAAATAGCAAGTATGACGATTTACCATTTTAACTAAATTTATATTATTAATTGTAACTTTGGAGATATAATTAGGGGCAGACCCATTAAGGATCCAGTGGGGGCAGTTAATTTTTTGAGGAAATTACATAATACCATGTGTTTAAATATCACAATTCAAAAATCAGGTCTAAAGTTTCATTATTCATAAATCAGGTATCAATATAATAATTAAATATTAAATATCTCCACCCAATTATTCCAAACCCTAATCATTTGACCTTATTTTCTCTCTCACTCTTCTCCATTCTCTATATTCTCTCATTTCTCTCTATCACAAATAACAATCGGCAGTTCATTGTCGACCGCAGATCGCCGCCAAGGAGAGGCTTCACTGGTGGAGATCACCGCCGAGGAGAGGGTTTCACTGGGCTTGACAAATAACACTCGGAGATTTCCGCCGACAAGAGGGCTTCATTGGTGGAGATTGCCTTCGCTCTTCACGGGCGGCTTCTCTGCGCCTGATCGTCTCCACTCTTCACTGTGCAACGGTTGAGGGCTGCTAAGAGTTCTTAGCAGCGTCGTCAGCGATCGAGGGCTTCACTGTTGAGAGTTTATCTATTCTGTTTTGAACACAAATTAGTCCTTGCAATTCCCTTTCATCTTTTTTTTTTTTTTTTTAAATTTTTGTTGTGATGGTGGTGTTTGCGTCGGAGTGTGGTGGTGGTGTTGATGCTAGTTGTGTTGTGGTGCAGATGTGGTGTGGTGGGTTTGTGGGTTGAGATCTGGTTGGTGGCGTGGTAAGTGGTGTGCGGTGGAGGAGGTGGTGTGAGTTGTTGTGCGCGGTGGAGGTATGGTGCAGTGGAGGTGGATCTGCTTGCAGCGGTGGTGGCATTGTCGGTGTGCGGTGGTATTTGCCCATATGTGTGGGTTAGCAATGGTGATGGCAGTCGACGGTGGTGTAGGTGGAGGATCTGGCGATTTTGTGACTAAAAATATAATCTACGACCTTAAAATTCGGGTAATCTGTGACTAAAAAGATAATCCGTGACCAATTATTTTATTATCTGTGATCTAAAAATTATATAATCAGTGACCTTGAAAATATTCGTGATCAACTAATTTGGAAATCTGTGACTGTGTGACCTATAAATTTTGATCCATAACCAACGAATTAATTGTGACCTACAAAATTTTTGAACTGTGACCGTAAAATAATATGTGACTATCTAAATTGTGAATCTATGACCATATTTTATAAATTGCCGGAATCAGACTATTCGCCTGAACGACGTCGAAGAAGAGTGGTGGTCGGAACGGCAGGGGTGGTGTAGGTGGGGTGAGTTAATTATATTATATTAAAATTAAATATTTAATAATTAATTAATAAAAATATTTTTAATTAATAAATAAATACCTGAGTTTTGTATTTTGAAACTTGACACCTGAAAATTGAATTTTGTCAAAGTTAATACTTGGTTTTTGAATTTTTTCCTAATTTTTTACCTTGAAAAAAGTTGCTCTCACTGGACCCTTAATTCATTGTCTTGAAAAAAAAGTCCACCCAACTATTGAAGTCCAAGACTTTTATCATTAAGCCTTTGTTTGACACACATTAAAATTTTCATTCTCATTCTTCTACTCATTTTCAATTACACATTCTTCAATAAAATAATATTTTCCATCACATCAATAACTTTTCCTTCTTTTTCAACCACATATTCTCTATCAATCTACTATTCCAAAATACATTCTTCCAAAATAATATCGAGTAAATTTAATCAACAATCACTGAACTTTCAAGTTGTTACCACTTACTCATTGAAATTTAATGCGTTACCGAACATTCACTCATCTTTCCTTATGGTTACCCATCCACCACTCACTCCACTCCCGTCTCTTAAAATTGATAAAAAATTACACGTGGCTGACGGTTTTCTTACGTGACAAACACCCCACGTTAAGTTGCCAACCTGTAATAAAACCTACGACATTAACCTTTAAAATCAACACCATTTCTGCTTACTGGAAGAAAAATCAACACTGGAAGAAAAATCAACACCAGAAGTCTCTACATTTCTTGAAATTCTCCCTGAAATCAACGTGCTAAACTTGGGAATTCTTCTCCTGTGTGGATAATGGAGGGAATAGGTGACCCACAAGGCCCTCTCATGGAAGATGCATTGTTGGAAGATGAACAAGAAAGAGTTCTGGAAGGTGATTTTTTAAAACTATTTTGTTGGAATGTGATTTGTTTCCTTATGGACATAAAGTTTAAGAAATGGATGTTTATCTAATTGATTATAAAATGGAGGAGGAAATCATGGCCGAGAATTAGGGTTTTGGAGAAGTGTAGTCATGCCTTCCATTTGCAGTCTATACAACAGTGGCTGTTATGAAGGAGAAGTGCAGTCATTGCTTAATATATGTTAAACACTTTCTTTATTTGTTTGGGAAATTTTATAATATGAAGCAGTAAACTTCAGACTTCACAAATGTCCCAGTTGCATAGTTGTTTTAATTACCTTTTCTTTTATATCCAAACATTAAGCTTAGTCTTTTTGCATTGTAGTGACGAACAATGAGAGCGAAGATTTGGTGCCACTAGAGTGCCAATTAAATGACTCGGAGGATGATGTGGATGATGGTGGTTTTCATTATCAGATAAATGCATCGGAAAGAGTTCAGGTTGGTTTGAATGCTGGGGAAGATGATGGCTCAAAATTGGATGATCCATATTATGCATATTCTGAGGAGGAGTTGCATACTGATCATTCTTCAGATAAGGAAAATAATTATCGTTTCCCTACGTATGATGCTGAGATGGAGAAGTTTAATCCACAATTAGAGGTTGGAAAAGAGTTCAAAGACATAGAAGAGTTTAAGAAAGCAGTTAGACATCATGGAGTTGTCACTTGGCATAATTTGAAGTTTACAGCGAATGATAAAAAGAGAGCATAGGGAGTGTGCAAAAATAAGGATTGTAAGTGGAAGATTTGGGCTTCATTGAATAAGAATAAGGGTTGCGTTCAAATTAAGACCTTCAATTCACAGTACACATGCATACGAGACAGAATAAATAGGCATTGCACAGCTAAGTATATTGCTGAGAAGTACATAGAGACTTTCAAGATTGCCCCTGATTGGAAGTCAGAACTCATTATTAAGGCTGTGAGAGATGACTTGAAATTAATAATCAATAGAGTTACTGCATGGCGAGCCAGAAGACACGCGAGGATATTGATTGAAGGCTCTAATGAACACCAGTTTGGCCTGCCTTGGTCTTTTGCTCATGAGACATTGAGAAGCAATCCAGGATCCACATGTATAGTTACTACGCATGATTCGAAGTTTCAAGGGGCTTATATATGTTTAGAAGCTTGCAAGAGAGGTTTTATGAGTGGTTGTAGGCAACTCTTAGGTTTATATGGGTGTTTTTTGAAAGGGAATTTTGGTGGACAGATACTTGTTGCAGTAGCACTAGATGCCAATGATTGTATTTACCCTGTAGCATACGCAATAGTGGAGACGGAGAATGTTAGAAGTTGGAGATGGTTCATTAGACATTTGGGTGAAGATTTAAGGAGTGTGAACAGTAACGAATGGACTTTTATGACTGATAGGCAGAAAGGATTACAAAAGGTTATCGAGGAGTTGTACCCTGATGTTGAACATAGGTTTTGTGTGAGGCACATGTATACATATTTTTTTAGGGCTGAATTTAAGAGTTTGGCACTTAAAGGTTACTTATGGAAAGCTGCAAAGTCAACTACTATGCCTGATTGGAAGTTTTGGATGGATGAACTTGTGAAGGAGAGTACGGGTGTATTTGAGTGGTTAAGTAAAAGAGATCCACGTGAATGGAGTAAGTCGCATTTCTCCACTAAGGTAAAGAGTGATATAGTACTTAACAATTTATGTGAAGTTTTCAACAATGTAGTATCAGAGGATAGGGAAAAATCTATCTTGACTATGTTAATTGACATGCATATTAGTTGCATGAGGAGGATACAATCAAGGAGGGATAAGATGAGAAGAGCCAGAGGACCTTTGTGTCCTAAGATTCAACAAAAATTAGCTAAATCCATGGAAATAGCTGAGGAGTGTGACGTAGAGTGGTTTGGGGGCCCACAGTTCTATGTGAAATGTTGTACTGGGGAATATGTAGTTGATTTGACAAATAAGACATGTGCATGTAGGAAATGGGATTTGACGGGGATTCCATGTCGACATGGGGTTGCTGTTATACTAGACAGAGGGAATAATCCTACAAAGTATGTGCATGAGTGCTACACGGTGCAAACCTATCTACAGTGTTATGAAAACATTGTGAATCCCATTAATGGTAAGAAATTGTGGCCAGAAGTGAATGCTATCCCTATACAACCACCGGGTTGGGTGGTGGTGAAGAGGGGAAGGAAACAAAAAAAAATGCAGAAGGCAGCAAGAGGAAGATGTAATCACTCATTCCGGTACAACTTCAAGAATGAAGAAAAAAGGCATAGTGAAGATGACATGCAGTCTATGTAGGTTACCTGGCCACAACAAGCGTTACCATGATAGGGCAGATGCACCGATGGAGGTTTGTATTTCTTTAACTATGAAGAGGTTTGTTCTAAAGTTGTGTAGTAGAGATCATGTTTTGTAACTATGTTTCATATTTTCAGGATTGGGCTGTAAATGATCTCAATCACATAAATCAAGATGGAGCAAGCCAAGTTGAAAGTCAAAGTTCAAGGGTAATTTTTTCGATGTTGTTACTCTATGATTACCATTGATTTCATATTCAAGTCTCTTACCCATTTCTCTAACATAGGCCAACCTGGCAACTCGATGAGCAAACAAAAATTCAATGAATGAAGTGCAACACAATCCTCCAACAGATGGATATATTTTCATGCCCATACCTGGACTACGGGTCACGAGTGATGCACAACCTAACAACAATGGTCCTTCCAAATAGCTGTAGTTTAGGGTCTGATCTTAGAAATTTTTGACAGTGAACTATCTGTAGAAATGTCGTCTGTGATGTTTTGTTGTTTTTGACAATTCACTGTAGAAATGTCATCTGTGAAGTTTTTGATAGTGAACTAATTTTGTAGCAGCAGATGTTAGTTTGTATTTTTGATTAAGTAATCATATGCTCATTCAAATGTCATCTGTCATATGGTTGTTTTTCGTACTTCTAATATAACATGATAGCATATTCTTAGAGTTCCATCTGATGCACCTGATTCTTGATAAGCTTCTAGTGCATTATACACCTTCTGATGCGCCTTATTCTCAGTGCTGATGCACAGGCATTTTGGTGCTGGTGCATCAGCACCTGATTCTTAGATGATGCACCTTGGCTGGTGCATTAAATTGAAGCTTCTCAATCTGGTGCATGCATTTATGCACCTCCATCAATCCAAATTTCAATAACCTCAATCAATCCAATTTTCAAACCAAGATATAACATGATTCAATCATTCAATAGTACAAAGATCATTCAGCCAAGTTACAACAACCAACTACATATACAAAATCCAACTACAAGGAAATGTAGGACATTCTCCTTCAGCCCCACCAGCAAAACAACCAACTATACAACAACCAACACAAGGAAATGTAAGACAATGTATCAGACTACAAATTTAGCTACAAATTACAAATTTAACCAGACTATTAAACTGGAACAGTCATGAGGGAAGGAGCAGTCTGCTCTGTTATCTCATCACCATCCAATTCATTTTCACCTGATGCCTCATCCAGTGATTTTCCATCTGATTCATCCATAACTACTGCCATTTCTAAGACAGATGCATTGCTAAGACAAAGTAGCAACTCCTCAAGTATTTATCAAAGTTCTCCTGCATTAACTTGGTCAGGCTACTGATCACAGGGTCATCACTTGCCCCTGCATGTGCCAATTCCAACTGAATCTTCTATGCTTCATGGAAGAACGTGTTTGTTGTTAGCATAGTTGGAGTTGTCAAGAGATTGGCAGTGTCAAAATGGGAACCCTACATACTAAGAACTCAAAGCCTACACCTACTGTTGCCCATATTTATTCTTCTGGACCATATGGTGTGTGTGGTGCAATTGACCATCCGGTACATGAGTGTTCTGCTCTAGCTGAGATAAGGGGGTTTATGAGGATACTACAATGTCTTAGGCATGTATAACAAGCCTTATACTTCATTTTCTGATACCTATAATCAGGGGTGGAGAAATCATCCAAACTTCAGCTGGAAATCTGAAAACCAGCAACCTACCTAGCCATCTAGAGTTTTTAATACACCTTCACACCAACCTACTTCATCTAGGAATTTCTTAGAAAATACCCTACATACATTCATGGAGGCACATGAAAAACAAATTAAAAATTTGAGACTATGGTTACCCAAATTGTTGAGAAAAACAAGGAAATAAAAAATCATATCTCTAAACTAACTAGTGCCTTAGCCGTAGTGGAACGTGGAAAATTTCTGGCTCAAGATCAACTAAATCCTACAGGGTAGCACATGGTGCAAACCTCGGGTTCAAATGAAAACAATCTTAGAGAAGTAAATGCTATAACTACTAGATTAGGAAAAGTTATAGAACCAATCCCCAAACATAGGAAAACTGAAAAAGAGTCTAGTGAGCCTGAAGAGAGTAGCCCTAGTGAGGAAGTAATGACAAATCCAGTGAGGGTACCTTTCCCCGCAAGCTCTTAAGTCCACCTCAAAATCTGTCGGTCAACATAGTGAGATCTTAGAACATCTAAAACAGGTAAAAATCAATTTTCCTCTCTTGCATATAATTTCACATGTTCATACGTATGCTAAAGTCCTTAAGGACTTATGCACTGTCAAAAGGAATCACAATGTCAAGAAAATCGCTTTCTTGACTGAGCAAGCGAGCGCTGTGATTACGCAAAGGATCCCGCCAAAGTGTAAGGACCCTGGTTGTCTTACTGTGTCTTATGTCATCGGGAATCATGAGTTTGGACAAGTCCTTCTTGATTTAGGGGCTAGTGTCAATCTCATTCTTTATGCTATTTACTTGTCGTTAGGTTTGGGTGAGATGAAGCATATATCTGTAGCTCTGCAATTAGCTGATAGATCCACTATTAGAGGAGGATAACGAGTGTCATTAAACCTACTTGGTTGATATACAGCAAATTCTAGAACAAGATGGATTGGACGTTACCACAAATAAACATCTTGAGATGGAGGATCAAGAGTTAGGTAATAGTTCTTATTTTACATTACCAATTTCTAACGAGAGGACTTTACCTTTTGTGTTGTAGTGATTATGTCCAAGGAGCTTAGTGTACTGTAAAGAGAATTGAAATCACGTTTGGTGGATGCAGGCTAGGGAGGAAACATTGGGTCGAGCCAAAGACAATAAACAAAAGCACTGCTTTGGAGGCAACTTAAGGGGAGTTCGTTCCTTTCTTTTGTTATTTACTTTTACATTTATATTCTAGTTAACTCCTGTCATTTTCCTTGCATTACCAGTCCATTGAGTACTTTCAGACTTCTTATACCACAAGTTTCTTTTGATTCACTACCATGCTCAGGTGACATCTTTTCCTTCTTTTCTTTGGAATTCATATTTATGCATTGAGGACAATGCAATATTTAGTTGGGGGAGAGTTACTTTGAATACTATTATGATTATCATGGATTTTTGTTGATTTGTCATGACGTGTTAAAATTTTTTTTCCTTAAGTATCTGATTTGCTTTATGATTGTGCTTTTAAATAACAAAATGTGCTACTAGGAGTTAATTCTGTTATGAAAGTCTAGATGTCAAGACACTTACTGAATTATTTTTGCGCACAGAAGCCTTGTGGTGGTAAGATGGTAGTTTAACACATGTAGCTATATGAGTCTCTTGCTGAAGTTTTTCTTGTGAGATACTTGGTGAGAATTGAGAGCCACAATATACTAAAATATGGCAATAAGCATTCATTGATCTTTTGAATTGGAAACTCCTTTGTGAATAACACTACATGGTTTGTGGAAGATGGTGGATTACTTGAGAAATGATAAAGGTCAATTTAGGACTGACACTTGAGCCTGCAACCTTTCTTTTCAATACCTCTAGTAGCCACTTTGAGCCATACACATATATATCATTTTCTTCATACACTCATGTTATCCATACTTCTCCACATTGGAGTACGACTTTTGCGCATATTCATCCATCTTTTTACTTCCAAGTGTGCAGTGGTATTGGATGTTTATTTGTGAAGAATTGAAGTAAGGAAACCGATAAAATGAAATGTGCTCAAATAAGGCTGCCCAAAAAAAATTCGAAAAGAGAGAAGAAAAAAAAGAGAGAGAAATCAAGAAAGACAAAAAAACCATATATGTATTTGATTTTGGGGTTTGAAATATTGAGGAATGTGTTGATTGAAAGATGTGATGTAATGAGATATTTGATAAGATACCTAACTATGTCCTAGGAAGTATTTTAATTTTTATATCCGTGCTTTTCATATGATCTAACCTCAACTTCATTACAACCCTTTGTATTGACCATTTTGATCCCAAGTAGGCTGTGGTAAGAAGTTGATTAATTCTCATTTGGTAGTATGCCTATCACAGAATCAATATTTGTTTGTTGCTTGTGCACAATTGTTTAAGCCTCCAAATTTGAGAGTTCATCTTTATCAGCTCCATAGAGAGAAACCCCACACTAAACACTTTGATACCCATGAGTTATGGAGCTGAACTTTCAGTTTGAAATATACTTGATGTTGCATGTGTTAGGGTTAGCGGTAAGATGGCTATGGCTTGACACACACTTACACATTTGGCATGAGTTTTTGACGTCTTGATAATCGTGACATTGTTAACTTTGTGTGATCTTGAGTTTGAAGAGGGCGTGGCATGTGGTTAAATTAAAACTTAACAATTTCACTTCTAATATAGGCCAGTCATTCATTCATCTTGCTCTGCATTAAATTGTTAGGGACTAGCAATAAGCAAGTTGGGAGGTGTGATTGTAGCACATTTGTTACGTTTTGCATCCATTAATATTTGCATTTCTATGATTATTTGATGCCTAAATGCACTAAATACTTCTATATCTTGGTTTATGTTGCAAATTGGTGAAAACGGTGGAAAATTGAATAGAAGAACGAAAAATGACCAAAATGGAAGAAGGTTTAGGGACTAAAGTACAAATGCTCAAAAATTGTGTCAGAGCTCACGATGAAGGTTTGAGAATGCTAATGGTCAATTGGAAGCAATTATAAGTCAAAAAAGAATCAAATATGATCAAAATATTATCAAAATTCAATTTTCAATCCGCAAAAATATATTCCAGATTTTTAGCCAAAGATTGAGATCCATTTTTGGCATAGTAAAAGTCCGAATTGGAAAAGAGATATTCTAACAAAGTTGTATCTCTTTGAGTTATCCTTACAATGCATTTTGAATCTTCTAAATATAATATTGGACGAGAAAGTTATAACCAAATTACTGACTATTGTGTAGAGACAAAAAATCCACGCGCGAAGGTAACTTTCCTTATTCGATTAGAACTCTTTTAAAAATCAATTTGGACATGATTTTCATCCAATTTTCGACTCCTACAAATACTTAACAGCAGAATACATATAGAGAAGACCTTCATACACCATTCTTCTCCTCTTTGGCTCAAGAAACTCATGGAGAACTAAAACTCTTGGCGAAGCTACGAAGGAACACGGTTGGAATTGGTGATTTCATATCTTATATTCATTTAATTTGATATTTTCATTATCAAAAAATGCTAAAATTTAGATTTTCATTCTCTTGAATTTATATTGAAATCGGTTTAATATTTACAAGATTTTTCATGGATTCAGTCATACTTTTTCCATTGTTCAATCAAACTATTTATTGAATTTCAATTTCAATATTTGTTGTTGAGATTGGTTTAACAATTATTATATCCTTCATAGATCCAGTCATACTTCTTCTATTGTTAGACTGAACTAGTTATTGAATTTTAATCTCAATTTCACTTTATTGGCGGATTAATATGTCTTAAGTCTAAATTTTAGAATTACATTTGTAAATTAAATTGGTTTTCACGATATATCTTCCAATTAGAGTGTTGGGACGAAAGCCTCCAATTGTGTTATAAAAATGAATAATTCATATAATTGATCCAATCCAATTGAGGGAATTGTGACGTTTCACTACTTCAAATTTTTTATTTTAACTTCACATTTCAATATTGAATTTTATTACACATTTGAGAGAACGATTCAGCCTTTTTGATCATTTAAATATTTTTCAATCTCCCTGTGGATACGACACTCCAAAATTGTTCTACAACTACCACGTTATTTTTTGGGTGTAATCAGGAGGTTGGCGTTGGGCGACTGGGCAGCGGACTCACTTTCTTATGAAGATTTTTCTAATAAATTGTCTCTCATGGTTGATTAAATTTCAGAACCTATGCTCTGATACCATATTAGATAAAAGGATTCAATTGAAATAAAAGAAAAGAAGGAAGAAGATCTGGGAACGTTTTTATTCCATTGAAGTTCTTAATAATAAAATTAACAAAGTATCATATATATACAAAATGAATAACAAACTTTAACAGAATCCAAGTCAGCATCGTTGCTGCACATGCTATGGTCTCCTAACTAACCATCATCTAACAAAAAAAAAATGATTTGCACTATTTTACACGAAGGGGACAACTAGCCATTCTCCAGCATCCTATTTTCTCTTGCACCAGCTGCAGCATGGATGGCTTCTTGGTCATGGTGGCTAGATATTTCATGCCGCAATGCTATATGCGTGAATAATTTTTTTCTGTAACTGGTCAATTCTGTTTCTCTTTTTTGAGATTGTAACTTTTATGACGGAAAGTGGTAAATTTTGAAGAATCTGACAAAAGGTGTGGTTTTTGAATTTTACTTTTGATGTGGGTTATTGTACGGTAACTGTTGATAATGCATCAAACAAGAAAGCAACTTTGATCAAGGTAATAGAATTTTGAATTTGATTAAATTAAGAAAATTCTAATATATTGGGGGGAAACTTTGGTATTATTATATGTTTTTTAGTGGAATTTTTCAGGTAGATAGTGCAAATAAGAGAGGAAGTTTATTGGAGGTGGTTCAGGTTCTTACTCATCTGAACCTGATAATCAGGAGGGCTTACATTTCTTCAAGTGGGGAATGGTTTATGGATGGTAATCAAATTTTTTCTTAAAATTTACTTATAATTGATTTTGAGTTTGATTCTTTGATGGTTGATTTTTTTGATTGTCAACTACAGTTTTCCATGTAACTGATCAACAAGGAAATAAGATCTCCGAAGATAACATTGTCGAACGCATTCAACAGGTATATATCCCAAAATGTTAATAGATTACGCAGTTCTTACTGATCACGAGAGTGTTTAGAAATTGTTCAAAGGAGCTAATTTCCTAATTTGTGGTTTAAGAATGGTTTCCATTGATTTCATGGTAGAAAGCTTTATGATTCATAATTCTGTCGAATATCAAGTGTATTGTCAGATAGCAAATTCGGTTATAATCTGCCACCGATATGTGGAAATGATCAGTTTTAACATCTTAGTTCATTAATTTTCTAGATTTGTTAACTCATTGAAGTGGTTGGAATTTATTACAAGCACATAAGCTACCACACTCAAAAGGAAACTACCATATCTGTCAGTATCTGCAGCAGATTATAGGTAGGCCTGTTTGGAATCCATGTAAACAGTGTAGTCGAGGTATGATTTATTTTGCACATGGAGAGATGGGTAGGATCATTAAATCATCATTAATAAATGAACAGCTAAAACAATAGTCATCTACTAAATTCAGATCATCGGTAGCATAACGGATACTAGAGAGTTTATGTCACATTGGACGTGAATAGACTAAAATAAAACAGAATCAGTGGGTATTTCTCGTTCATCAAAATTTCCGCACTATTGAAATTGTACTGATGATTAAATTATGTTGCAGTCACTGGGGCCAAAGGGGCAGAACTTTCGGTCCTTGACAAGATCTGTGGGCTTGACACCTACGGCTGAGCATACGACCATTGAGTTGTCAGGAAGAGCATATGCGTTGCTACAAGATGGTATAGGGCTCCGAGTTGATATTCTAATATTGTATTGATTTAAAAATGTATTCTAATGTTGTATTGATTTAAAAATGTATTTCAGCTATGCTAAGGAAATCCAAATGTTGTATTGTATAACATTTTAATGTTGTATTGGTTTAAAATTTTGTAATGAAATTATCAATTTTTATGCAATTTCAAAATTTGTTCACAAAGTATCATTTTCAATTTTGTCGTCAATTACCATATATAACTGTAAAAAAAATTAATTAATTAATTCTACGGCAACATTAAAAAAACGCTGCAAAAGGGTCTACCGCAACGCTGCAAATGGGTCTAGAGCAATGTCTAAAAAACGCTGCAAAAGAGTTTTTCATAACAGTGAATAAATATTACAAAAAGTCTTTCCTCAACGGCAACACCGACCTTCACAACACACGCTAAAATGCTGCAAAATATCTACCGCAGCGTTTTTTTGACCGGTACAAAAGGTCTTTTTTGGTGCAGTGCACCTTATTCTATAGTAAATTTCTAAAAATATTTCATGCGCAATATGCTCCTTACCAGCTTCTGCAACAAAAGCTAACAAAGAAAGAGGGTGGAAATATTAAGAAGCCACAACATTTATCTTTTACAACAATTTCATACACTATCCAGAAAGAAACATAATGTACACTAGCTACGAGAAGAGGAAATCAAATTGAAAAATTCTGATGTTTTTAGTATTAACCTTCAACAGTAGGTTATAAATACTTCAATGAAAAATAACTCAACCCATTTAAACTGCAAACACTACCTACAACATAACCAAACCCGTACGATCAAAAACTAGTATTTCAAAAAAATCCAAACATTAACCTCGACTTCCAAGTTTAAATAAATGTTTTTTCTGTAACGAAAGACATGGAGATGTAATCCCCCTTTGAACGAAACTTTTAAAAATTATAAGTTGACAAGTTCCATAAGGTTAAAAAAGGATAAAAATTGTGGAGGTTGTAATTGAAAATAAAATTTGTATCCTTTCGTGAAGAGGATTGAATAATGTTATTTATCGATGATAAATCATAGGTGATGTAGCAATTAATGTAGAATAATGAGACTGCACAATTCAATTTATATGAGAGAGGGAAGAGGAGATAAAAAAAAAATGTGAACATCACCGATTTATCATGATAATGATACATAGCATTACTCCAAAATTAATTGTTAATTTTAACTTTAATTTTTATCAAAAAATTTAATCTATTCCAAACCAAGACTAAATAAGAAAAATAAAATAATGAACCAGTAGCCAGTGATTAAAAAAAAATGCATAATCATGGAACATGTTCATACATTTAAGCACGCAAATATCTACGAAAACTTTATCCAACTAAACTGAAATTAAGATACAGAAGTTCCAAAGGTACACAAAGCTACATGATCCAACAGTTTTTCCTTCAAATATCTTGGCTACCCTTGATGTGATGCTGCCCAAATTGCTCCGCCTTCTCCTCCATATCATGGGCAGTATGTGCAAGCTTTTCTGTAGCCCGATCGAGCTCGTCCGCCCCGATTGGGTGTTTCCCAGCGGCATATCTATACATCCAGTAAAATACAAAACTGGCAGATGCGCCAAACCCTCCTGAAGCCAAGAACCCTGCAAATATCAGAAACAAGGCTATGGCAGCCGGGACAAGAACCGGGCTGAAGATTACCAGCAAAGGGGTGGCCAACACTAGACCTATGACAGTGACCGCCAGAGTTAGCCCGGATAGAACCATGAGAGAGCCACCGATTGTGACGGCGGTGGTGGTCTTGGCCACATGATGAGAAAACTGATGCTGTTGCGGCTGCCCGCGGCCATAATACTGTTGATTCTGAGCCATGATGAAAAATCGAAATGGAAACGAAATTGGATTATTAGTTCATGTGAGAAGATCGGTGATGGGATTACGTAGCGAGTGTGTTGTATATATAGATAGAGGTGAAATGCATGGAGGAGAGGATAAAGGTGTTACGTGTTGGATGTTTGTATCACACCTGGTGTTGCATGACAAAAGTGTTTTGTTACTTGACACGTATCATTTCTTCTTCACCTTGTTAAGACCATGTTCGTTGAAGCTTATAAATCACATAAGTACCGTTGTAACTTTTTCTTTGGGCCAAACATGAGCTTGCCTAAATCCAACTCGATCCTCGGAGTCTCTGATGTTGAAGAAGACCAATTTTCTTTTCATTTTGAATATTTATTGTTTTATGTGTTTAAATTAGAGATCAAAACTCATTTGATGAAATGTAATGGTTTCATTCTATTTATTTTTTGAAAGAGAAGTATCAGTAGGTACGAATTATCCTAGTAAATAGTGTTACGGGCCTGTGTCAGACCCGTCACCTCGCCCGCCACGTGTCCACACCCGTGGCCCAAGCCAGGTACCGGACGAGGTGATTAAACCCAAGGACGAACTGATTGTACATGCCGAGGTGATTGCATTAGGAACGAACTGAATATACGTCAGCAAACGAATCGGACTCATCCACAAATACGCAGTGGATGCAAAGGCCCGCACTCCGCTTCTACAACGCTGCAACGCTTCATCTGCCACACCTCGACTCTGCGAAGATCCTTTGTACAAAGATCTTCCCAAAGTCAAATCTCTGACTGATGGGACGTGTGGTAGGTTCTCAAACGGTCAAATCAGCAGCCTGTGGCTAAAACCATTAAATACCAGTCGACCTATGGAGGGACAGAGTGACACCTAGGATGGGACGAGCCCTGAGGATCCGACAACACGTGTCCCCTCATCCAATGGTCCTCCTCCTTCCATCCTTAGTATAAATAACCCCTCATTGTGCCAATGAAGGGATTGGAATCCCTTTTGCTCTCCTAAATATTGAAAAAAAAAAACCAAGTATCATCCTTTCCCTTAGATATTTGTCAATCTTATCTACGCTATATCGATCACCTCCCCGGCGAGTGTTCTACCGCCGGTGAAACCCTTACCGGTCGAATATAAAACTGACTTGACCGTCGGAGTGCTTGCGGCCGCTCCCACCCCCTCCGGGAAAGGCCACGAGTGACTGACGGCGTGCTACGTGTGCAGGAGGAGCTGACTTGAAGACCTATCCTGTTGGCCACGTGTC